CCTTTGTCTGCCTGTCAGGCTGTCACTTATAAGGCATCTGAAACATGATCTCCTTCTAAGAGTTAAACCAATGGTGTTGCATCAGCAGAACTGTAGCATAAAGGAATTCTTGCCACCCATTTAAAACTCATTTATTTATTTGTTGAAAGCTTTTCTACCCCGTCCACTGCTGACGTCTTGGGACAGCTTACACTTCTTCTGCGTGCACATCTGTGCACGCATGCCCACACTTTTTGTTATCTGCACATGATAAAAATGCATCTCTCTTTGCTAGGAAGTTTCACTGTGTATTCCTCACCCTGTTCCAACCCCTGTAAAACTCGCTGAGAACTTGCAGGAAGAAGTGACTCGCTATTCAAGCGGCGACTCCAATTTCTCTTTACAAGCTCTATCCATGACAAGGTGATTTAGACAAAAATGGCAAATGCCCTGGATAAAGTTACGTTGGGAGATTTGGGTTGAACCCAAAGAGATGAGGCTTCTAGGCCAACACTGAGCCTCTTCTAACTCATACAAACTGTATTCCACCCCTACCCTTTTCCAGGCTGGGCTGCTCTACTTAGTTGTAGGAATGCAGAGCTCTTGCATCCCAAGCAGGTACCAGTAGCATGAAGTAGGGGTGAGCTGGCTGTGAGAAAGGATGCAGAGAAATTTCCTTCATTTCATTTGTTAATCAGGATTTACCCAGTAAATCCCGACCCAAAGACTCAAACCCACTCTGCAGACCAAAGAGAAAGTGCTTGGCTACATGCATGCATGTGGAAAATGGGGTTTAAAGGAAGTTTTTTTTAAATGCACACAAAGAAGCTTGAATTGATGAGAGCTGAACGTGTACAGATGAGAGGCAAACACTACTGAGACGTAAATTTGGAAAAATGCCTGTATCTGCCCCCCTGCCACACAGACACTGCAATTTGCCATGGGCACAGGACAGCAGTCTTGAGGCAGGGTTGAGCACTTCAGCAAGACCGAGTTCTGCCAGCATGCACGCTTTGCTTGTGCAGTCCTTGCAAGCAAAAACACATACGCAGGATCCCTCAACTGTTGGAGATCCCTCTGGCTCAAGAACACCCCAAATACATTTAATCTAGAAGTCCACCTTCCACCAGCTAAATGCTTTTGAGAAGCTCACAAACCACAAGCTGATCTTTGGCCTTCCAAGAGAAACTGGCCAGCGATTTAACGGCTAGTGGCTTCCCTTCACCACTGAATTCGAAGGACACATTAAGAGGCTCATTCAAACAGGTAAAGGCATAACGGTGCCTAAAAATGGTGCCAGCAGTGAATGGATTTCCTTACCTCTCCCAACCCTGTTTTTAACAGAAATATATTTCAGCAGTTAAAAAATGCTCTGCTTCGTACTTCAATGCACTCCAGGTCTACGGGTTATGAGACAGACACAGGGCACACCGCTCTACTAGCTCATGCTGTCCTGGCTTGGTGGCACGGATGATAACCTCTCAGTATTCTCAGAACAGATTGGTAAACAAAATACATGATATAGCAAGGAGGTTATTTTTGAGTGTATGCGACCTAGATATTTAAGACTTAGCAAGAAGAGCAGAAACCTAGTTCAATATGCTAATCACGACGCTGCATGGGTCTGCTTGTGGGGCTTTTGTGGGGGGCAGCTTAGCCATGTCCAAATCCCAGCACATGCACAGGTGCTTCCCATCCCATCCCATCCCATCCCCTCCCCAACACTTCATGTGTCCCTCAAGGCCAAACAGTTATGCCGAACCCTAACCCCCCTTGATATAAAAGGATTAAATAAAGTAGACCTTAAGAAATAAAAGAGGTATCACGTGCCCTGCTGGACGTAGGCTACCTCCTGTAGAAGAGGTGGCCTGCCCACATGCACCAGTTGCTGAGGAGCTGGGCAGGAGAAGGTCTTGCAGCCAGTTCGCCTGGAGGATCCCGTGTGCAGCTGCTTGGCCACTGTGTGAATGGAGGGATGGCCAAGATGAACACTGGGTCTGATCCAGCCAGGCTTTTCCATGTTCTTATGTAAGCTACAAACTTGCACTTGCTCTCCATGATGCTTCGCTCATTTGAGAGCTGACAATATTCTTGCTAAGCTCAAAACTGGGTACCTTTAGCAAATAAAAAGTTGTTTCTTCAAGGTTGACATATTTAATACATCATAAAGTAGAGAAAAATATCTTTGCTTTCATAAAGGCCAAGATTTGTTAAGAGCTGAAAAGTTGGGAGGAAAATGGCACATGTGAGTACTGCATGCAGAAGAAGTGGTTGAGGCCCCATCGGTGCGGGTGCTCAAGGACAGGCTGGACATGCACATGGTGGGCATGTCGTGAGCAGAGTCAGTTGGAGCCAGGGGTCAGACTAGATGGCCCAGGAGACCCCTTATGACTCGCTCAGTTTCTATATTTCTGTCAAATTCTATACAATCCAGAGAATGCTTATACTCTCTCTAGCAGCAGAAGAGTGCTTTGTCACATAAGAGAGAAGGCCATGCTTGTCACACACACATTTTCCTACAATTTTACACAGTGAAAAGAATACAGAGCCTATGTAGCCCAATGTGCTATTAGCCTGCCACAGGTAGGGATGGATGAAACTGTCACTTCATTTTATCTCATTTTTCCAATCCTAAATATGGTTCATCCTGAATGTTTGACTTTTTAAAAAATCTGTGTGAAAATTGCTGTGGATATTTCTGTATTTTTCTCTTAATAGTTGCATTTCTGCAAACAGCTTGTGGATTGGATATTTAGCTATCCTGGTGAGCAGTTAATTTCATTCCACACTACCAAACTGTTCTGACGCAGTGCTTGTATTAAAAACAAACAAACACCCTCAAAACACTACAGAGGAGAACATGCCAAAGTATAATGGACCAGATACAGGGAGTGCAGCCCATTTTCCCATGTGTCTCCCTGAGGAGTAAGCTGCATCAAGATCAAGTTCAACCATAGGCTTTACTCCGCAGTTAAGGGTGCACAGAATTGCGCCTCGCTTCTTTCTCCCTAGAAGTCACTTACACGGTGTGGTGATGTAGAATCAATACAGGTGGATGCAAATCAGGGAGCAGCTCGCAGATGCAAGTGCAGTGAAACATCAGGGGGGCCGCGGCTCCACCAGCCCCAACCACTGGAGAGGGAGGCCGCTTTCCCTGCTTGCTGGAGGACCCCTTTTTCTATTCCGAGCAGCAAACAGAAGGCACTGCTCTTCCGTCATTGCTTGACAGTTATAGACTAGCTCTGCACCTTATTAACGATTAAGGTTTGCTCAGACTCTCTCTTTTTGCCATCTCCTGTGCACGGTCAAGCATTTATTACGAGGCAATCGGAGATTAATAGCATGTCTTCAGCTTCGAGAAGAGCCATGTCACTTACTGCATCAACATAATCAAATAAGGGTGCAAATTCCTGTACACTGTAGAAGAATCAAAAATGCACTGCCCAGATGATGCCAAGCAGTAATTTAGTTTTCCTGAACAGCCTTCTCCCTCCTTTTAATTATTTTCCCTAATATGCTGCTGGAAACTAAAGAAACCCAATCCATATCAGTAGATACGGTTGCACCTTTTTTAGCAATAAAGTAGCATCAAGATTACATGGAAAGGCAAAATGTGCTTCTTTTATATGTGGGAATAACATTCCCTTAAGCATCCGTGTTCTTCTTTTCTCCACATCTAAGCTTACTTGCTCAGAAATGGTAGGAGTCATAAAATACCTGCAGCTTGCTTACTTTCCCAGCGTACTTTCTTTTTTTTGTGGGTGGGGGAGGGTGCATGGGAAAGACTTGTTAAAACATAAGTACAACTCTATGGCTATGTGAGTATCACTAGGCAACAGACTGCAGGAGCATTAATTCACTCATATACATATATAGATAGTTTAACATCCTGAGCAAGTCAAGCGCTTACTGCAGTTTTGGTCCCTTTGTTTTTACTGCAAACTTGCCATTTCTTTGAAGTGGGCAGGGACTGGTGAGGCTGGAGTGAAATATCACCTCATTTGTTCCAGCGTGTATGCCTGGGTGGGGGGCGGGTGCAGAGGGAATAGCCAAAATTGATAGCTTAGGATGCATGGCAAGATCCCTTCCATTTCTGTGGTCCCTGTACTAGAAATTTCAACATTGGCATCAGCTATAGAGAAAGGTGGGGCTCAACAACAGCCATTGGCCATGATCACCAGAATGACTTGTCATATTCAGAACTGATGCATGTCCAAATACGACCTACCAGGGAGAATAATCACAGGAGTTGTTCGCTTTGAAGATGGATGGATCTCACAGCTTTTCAGACTGTTCTATTCCACATATATTCTTGAGCATTTGGGGGATATATTATTTTTGGAAGTAGGAAAAGTCACAAAATTATTTTTGCTGCACATTTCTGCACTTATTTTTCAAAAACACACATTTCATTGAGCACTTTTCATTGATTAAATGCAGTTTATGCACCTTTTGCTAATGCACATATTTCCTGCTAATACACATTTTTGTGTGCATTATTCTGACAAACTGAGTTGCAAAGATCATAAAACTACAGTTTTGACATGCAACTCTATCTTGGTTCCCTGATTGCCTTCAGAGGTGTCTAGTTGATGAATTCACATAAAAAATCTCAACAGAATATGTTTCTCACCCAGTCCATGCTTGTAAGCTCCACAATTGCCAGGCCCTATTGGAAATTCAATACAGGGTCAGATGAACGATTGACTTAAAAGAGCATGTTTGGGATGACATGCTTGATCTTTGCACTGTGAAGTTCCAGCTCGTAAGTGCTCAATGCACGCCCATGTCCAGCACTACAATCATCTCGCCCCTTCCCAGATAATCAGGTTAACAGCTGATCCCAAAGAGCAGATTTTGACAGAATTCAAGCACAACTGCAGGTTTGGGATGATCATGGTGATAATGATAATGATGAGAAGGAACCATGACTTGTTGGCATAGCGAATGCTTTGCATCAACCTTCCCCAACCTTGTGCCTTCCAGACAGGTTTGGACTGCAACACCCAGAATTTCCAGCCAATGGCCCTGCTGGATGGGGATTCTGGGAGTTGCAGTCCAAACACCTCTGAAGTCCACCAGGTTGGCTGCTTTATCTGAAAAAGGCACCCATCTCCAGTCCCTGACAACCCTCTCCTTCAGTCTTTCTTAAATACAAGAGGTCTTCAAAAAGTTTCCACACTTTTTAAAACTCTATTTATTAAGAATTTCAAAAACAAATTACATCACTTTTGTACATATTCACCTTCCTTTGCGATGCAAGTCGTACCAACTTTTAACACCATCAGCAAAAATATATAAAACTTATTTATAAAATATGAAATACGAAAGTGCGGACACTTTTTGAAGCCCCTCATATCAGAGAGCAGGAGAATGGGCAGTGTGTGCTTCCTGCCGATGTTGCCAAGCCACAGCTCCAAATATAATCACAAGCAATGGTGGGAGGTACAGCCCAAACCATCTGGAGAGCCACAACCTGATCATCAGGAAGATCTGGGAAGTGTGGGTGGAGGTGAATTTGCTGCATCCTCATGGCTGCTTCTACCATTAGACAAAGGGAGGCAGTCACCTAGGCAGATTGAAAAGATGGCAAATGCAGGAGAAAACTGCATGTCACGGGGCCTGCCTTATTTCCCCAGAGTTAGCTTGCTGTTTTTGCGCATCCTGGAGCGTGGTGTCCCATCATCAGCACAGAAGAAAAATCCAGCTGCCAGGCCAGTCAGCTTTTGTGCATCGATTGGAGAGGCACCACCTGGTTCTCTGCTCAGGCTGCAAAATGTCCTGATAGCTCCGATACAGCCCCACTGAATTCTACAATTATCCCTGGCCGGAGTTCCAAGCCAGAAATACTAATGTAGCTTGTCTTTTGCATCACAATGTTCTTCTATCATGGAACTCACATTGCTTCACAAAGCTCTCCTGACTGTCTCCCATACAGGCACTGATAAGTGCCAAGATCAGAGGCTCCCTGCTCTGTTTCGTACTGAACCTGCTATGGGAAGAGTCTCAAATATGTGCATGTTTGGTCATGTTGAAGGTTCCTTCTACATACAAAACTCATGCACACGAGCCTCCTATGTACAGGAGTGCTTGCTTTTAATGGGGACGGTCCAACCCCTCCGTGGCCGCCCGCCCGCCAGCCTTAAATGCAAGGCTCCACCCCATGCCACTCCCCTGAACTCCGCAAGCCGGGCTGTACCACAGCAACTTAGAACAAGAGATCACTTCATTGACACATGCACACACGACTGACTGTTTGGCCAAAGGTCATCTGCCTATAAATGCCAATAACAGGAGGAAGGCTGCAACTGCCCGGGGACACCAGTTCAGGAGCAGGTCACCTTCTCCTCACTCATCCATCCAAGCTCAGTACACGCCCAAAGAACGTTCCAGCAAATTCCTTTTCTGACTTGCTATGAAGGCTCTGTCTTGGGCACACCGGAGCATGCAAAACAAGCTATTTGGGGGTTTGGTTTCCCAATACCAGTCTTCCAAATGTTGTACAGCCTATGCAGTTGTTCACAGCAATGATGGTTCAGAAGGAAGACACGTAACGAGAAGAGTGATACATATCCACCCTCTATACCCCCCCACCGCCCCAGCTCTAAAATCCAAAGTAGTCCAAAAGCCAGCTTCCTTCTTAAAGCTCCTCCAATAGCGAGTCACTGATGACTGTTCAGACACTGTGCAGAGGTAGCATGCTGAAAACTGACTTCTGGAAATCCCTTTTGAAGATTCTCCCCTTGCATCTGAAAAACATGAAGAGTGGAGACAGCCTTACCCCTTTTACAGCCCTTGGAAACACCTTTTACTGTTCGCTATTCACATGTGGGGACTGTAGGGGCTCTCTCTTCAGTTTAAATTTTGCAGATTCCCTTATCCTCAACTTTCCAGTGCAGAGTTCAGGAAAATTGTACCTGAAAATGAAACGATGACACCAGTTTGGATGGTTTTAATGGGGGATTAGACAGTGCAAAATAGGTGCTGAGAAACATGACTCGGGGCAGTATCCTATGAATGCCCCAGCTGTGGGTTGCTATAGGCAGCTGGATGGCCATTGTGTGGGCAGAATTCTGGACCTGATGTTCCCATACCTAGAACAGACAATATTATGGAATGAGGATGCTGCTGAAATGCAGACAGACAGACAGACAGACAAACAGACAGACAGACACTAAAAGAAATAAGCAACAATATTGGGGGATGAGCCTCGTGGATGAAACTGAGATGCTCCTACATGCTTCCTTGAATTCTGCTTAACTGGTACATTCGACTTACTTTTTCCTGTACTGCATCACACCTTTGGGTGGCCCTCTTTCTGGATTAACCATGTTCACATTTCAAGAACAGCCTATCTTTGTAAAAGAAGCAGCATATGAAAACTGAGGAGGGGCTACCCTAGGCAGCACTCATAAGGATGCAAGATACAAGCCCCTAGTAGAAAATCAATTATCTGTCATTGATGCAGAAATATCATTATTCTCATTTGGGGTCAAAAATGCATTAGTATTCCATACACTGACATACATACCAACCCCCTTTTTCCTCCATCTCTTTGTGACCTCAAGGCTTTTATGGATAAATGTCAAAGGCAGTTACAATTAATCATGTCTAGAGCAGGCTTAATTGTATACAACAGAAAGGCAATTAACACAATTTTTATTCAAATATTCATCTATGTTCTGAAGTTCTCAAATACAAGAGAATTCTCTCCATCTTCTATAACTTGCAAAGCTTTCAAATACATGCATACAACTGGGCTAATTTGAAGAAAGACTTTTCCTTCCATGGTTATTTCAGACCATCCACAGTGGATTCTAGTTATGCTTAGACAGTTACTGCTACACCATCAGCTTCGCAGAAGAACATGAGCAAAAGAGAAGCCATCAATGGAAAGATTTTTTAGATTGAAGATAACCCTGTAAATTTTGCGGCATGGTAACTTGGCCTTTTTTTGCATTGGTACTGTCAAATAAACTCCCTCAGCCCACCTCCAAAAATACTACCATGACCCCAATTTTCCTGAAAAGTGCTGTCCCTGAAGCCTCCAGAGTTTTCTGAGAAGCTAGTAAATGTGCTGCGCGCACCTGCCTCTTCTATATCAGTTATCTGGTCCCTGAGTAAAAATATCAGCTCGCCGCTGAAAAGGGAAACGGAGTGACCAGCTTTGGGAACAGGGCACTTGACAAGAGATTGGGGTGGAATTTGTTCTGCTGAGTTCCCTACCAATCTATCCACACCTCCTTGAACCAAATGCTAAAACAGATGGCAAGCCATACATTTCCAGGCTTGTGATGCCTTCCACAAAATTTGTGCTTCAAAATATGCACAAATTTGAAAACAGGAAGTACAAAAGATGCTGTGCAGACCCAATCAAGGAATACTGTGCCCATCAGAGTATACATTAAGGTATCAATTTGAAAAAAAATCATTCACCAAAATATATAAAACAAACTAACAACAACAAAAACACAATACATGGACATGGCATGGATAGATTTGACAGATCCACCTGTCCCTGTAGTGAAGAGCTAAAACCACTTTCCCCCCTTCTGTTCCACTTTGGGCGACAGTTGGATGGTCATTGTAGGTTCTTTCACATGTGTGAAAGGAACCCCTCCCAGATCTCACACCAGCTTCAGTTCTTCACACGTAGCACCCTGCGACAACTGCTGCTGTGTGGAGTACCCATGTTTATATTGTATTAATCAGTCTGTCATCCCTGATCTCAAAGACTCCATTCAAAATGACTAGCCACAAACATCCCAAGGCTGCAGCTTCCCCCTTCTCATAAAACAAGGACAGACCTGCTAATTGTTTTATCTACAGTTCCCATCATCCCTACTCAGTCTTGTGAAGTCTCTGCATCCCGGTGTCTACTGATCCTTCCATGTGGTACATGGGCCAAATATAGCCAAGTATGTACCCTGGAATTTAGAAAAGCCAGTATCAATAAATTCATAGCAATGATAAATACAGACTGATGGCAAGTGACTCTAATGAGAAAGAGAGTCCACGACGGGAGGGTATTTTTAAGAAGGAAATTCTAAAGACACAATTACAAACAATTCCAACAAGGAAATGGGGTAGAAGACAACAGAAGAAACTCATGTGGCTTTAGAAAAAGCTTAGAGATAGAACAAAAAGGACATGTATGGAAAATACAAGGAAGGCCAGGCTGCAAAGGAAGAATAGCACAGATTTTATTCAAATATGCAAGGCAGGGGGCACATGATTGTACGGATATCTCTAGCAAGGCTACAGCTACGAAAGAACAGAGGCTAGCAAGGGATGCTTAAAGCACCATCATCATCATCAACAACAACAAAGTCTTCAGTTATGTCCAAAGTCAGAGGAAAGAAATGGGGGTTCAGCTACTGCATGTGAATGGCAAAATGACAATAGATGACACATAAAAGGCAGAGGCACTCAATTCCTGCTTTGGCTCAGTCTTCTCCCGAAAGAAGTGCCATGACTTCCCCAATGGAGGGGAAGTACAAGCTGATGGAGCAGGATGACAGCTCAAGACTGGTGGGCAAATGCTCAAGGATCATCTAATTGGGTTGAATGAGTTCAAACCTGCAAGGCCTGGTACAGAACTGGACTCAAAAGTGCTCATCAGTAGCACCTTCTCAAACTGGAAAAGCAGGTATCCCATGGGATACCGCAGGGTTCAGTCCTGCACCCAGTGCTCTTCAATGAATTCATTAATTACTTGGGAACAATTATCAAATTCACAAATGACACAAAACTGGGTGGGACAGCTATTACCCTGGAAGACAGAAAGACGGTCCGAGGGGATCTTGGTAGGTTTTCAGCTCTGGGATGAAAACAACAGAATAAAATTCAGGGACAAATGCCAAGTTCTGCCACTAGGAAAAAGAAAGCAAATGCATCATTACAAGATGGGGAATACTTGGCTCAGTGATATTGCAAGTGAGAAGTATCTTGGGATTGTTATATTCAGCTTGTGATCTACGAGTCAACAATGTGATATGGCTGCAAAAAGGGCAAATGCTATTGGATTCCTGGGAAGTAGTAGTTCCCCTTTACTCAGGAAAGGGTAGGCCTCATCTGGAGTACTGTGTCCAGGTCTGAGTACCACAGAAAGATGGAGATAAGCTGGAAAGGGTTCAGAGGAGGGCAACAAGGATAATCCATGAACTGGAAACAGCCCGATGAGAAGAGAGTGAAAGAACTGGGCATGTTTAGACTGAGGGGAAACAGAAATAATTGAATGGTTGTTACAAAGAGAAAATCCTGCACGCTTCTCAATCATCGCAGAGTGCAGGACATGGAATAACATTCTCAAGTTACAAGAAGCCAGGTTCCGGCTGCGTATCAGGAGGAATTTTCTGACTACTAGAGCAATACAACTGTGGACACAGCTACTCAGGAAGGTTGTGGGCTCTCCCACATGGGGGGCATTCAAGAGGCAGCTGAGAGGGATGGTTTACCTTGGTGTCCTGACCAAGCAGGGGGTTGGACCTGATGGTCCTCCAGCCTCTTCTAGCTCTGTTTTAAGATTCTATAATTCTAAGGCCTGGCATTTGCTTCTAAACATTGGGAATGTAGAAAATTATTACGCTTGAGCAATTGGTCAATAGTGAGGGGACAAAATACTTGTCACAGTAAGGGAGGCTCGGAGGGTGGCAGCAGGGAGAAGACCCTGCTCAGCAGCCACCCCCAGTTATGGAACGAGCTCCCCACTGAGGCCTGCCTGGTGCCGACTTCACATTCTTCCCTGCACCAGGTAAAGCTTGTCCTCTATGGCCAGGCCTTTCATTAGTCTCTCGAGCCTACAGTTGCTAGACAGGGTTTCTCGGAGTCTTCTCAACATGTATTTTTGTGTTTTTATTCAGTTTAAATTTTGTATTGCTAACTTTTACAGTGTTTTAATATGTTTTAATTGCATATTTCATATTGTTTTGCAAATATGCTGTTGTGCACCACCCAGACAACTTGGACCGTTGCGAAGTCTAGAAAACAAACAAACAAAAAAACAAACAAGGTATGTTACTGGTGGTTAAAAGGGTTTATATTATATCCCATATACAAAGCTGTTTTAAAAGCTTTGCCCAAGGAGATCAGATTTACTCCAGTACACACATGTCCCTTTTATGCACAACACTTGAAGAAGTTCTTGGACAGTTGTGCCGCTTCTAATCAGGCCCTTGGGCAAATATCCGGCAACCCTCACAGGAATAAACTATTCTCACTTCAAACAATTGTTACAGTTTGAATCCAATTGACTCTAGACAACAGAAGTGAGATAATCAGCATATTAAAGCCAACACTATAACCATATGTTAATTATGTAAATGATTCATTTTAATCAGCTAGAACCATGTAAAGAGTTACTAGGAATGCAAATGCAAGGAGTTATTAAAAATCTCATTATTATTCATCTTGGTTCCATGCGTGAATGTATCCATCCAAACAGATGAATTAATAGTTAGATGAAAGATGAAAGAGCTGGAGGGGGAAATGTGTGGGAAACCATCTGTCTTGCTTTGTATCCCTCCAAGGCCTAAAAGAACACTGCAGTGGTTACACAGAGAAGGGCCTCAAAGCAGGGACAAGGGCGGGCTGGGCAAGACCACGACTTGGGACTGTTTCAGCTCCACGGACCAAGATTAGCAGTTCAAATGGATTCATATGCTGAGACATCCAATTCGGTGAGTGCATAGGTGCGCACAATGGGAATGTGCAAATCAGCAAAACCTGAGCTTGTCAAGGTTATCTCAATTCCTCCTCAAAGCCTATTCCAACTTGTGTCCATATCAGATTATGAGCTTCCCCTGCATTCACTCCAAAATGTGCATATTACTATGTGTGGTTTCTCAGAGAAATGCAGGAATCATGCGCAGTTTTGAGTTGCTGCTGCTGCTGCTGCGGCTGCTGCTCTGTGCCGTCAAATCATCTCTGACTTATGATGACCCCCACATATGAAAGTCTTTGAAATGTCCTATGCATGACCTCCCCGTTCAGGTGTTCTGAATCCAAGGCGGTGGCTTTCTTTATAGGGTTAATCCATCTCCATGTACATTTTAAAATGTACACAGAATTATCCTATCGGTTAAAGAATTTGTGTGTGCATTTTTCAGAAATGCACATTTTTGCATGCATTTTTCAAATTTACTCAGTCTGGTCTTCTCCCCTTCCTTATTAAGCTCAGGGATATACAGACTTTGACCGCAGATGGCACTTGGCTGCATGCGTGGGCTACAGGGTCTAAAATGGGTGAAGCCTAAAACAGACAGACAAAACCTGAAATGAATTTCTCACACGCCCCTAGTGCGAACACCTCCAAACTTTGCAAAACCAAACAAACCTAGAAGGGAGCAGCATCTCCATCAGGGCTGGGAAAGATCTCTCGCTGAAATCCTGGGCAGGCACTGCCAATCAGATGGACCGACAAGAAATCCACCACAGAATCAATGGAATTTGGATTTCTGTGACTCTGACCCAGAGATTCTGCAGAAGACCGGCTTTCTCGGAGTTGTAAGAATCCAGTTCATTCCATGGGCTTGTGGTCTAGTTTTCTTTACCTGGGAGTTTCATAAATGTGCCCTTACGCTAATAAGAACAAAGAATATAAGACTCTGGTGCATTCCTAAAAAATATGCAATGCCATCAACCAGCAGACAATGGGGAAAAAGGGCACCCGACAATGCACAAAAGGCAAATCAAACAGATGTTCTAAACACATTCATCCTTAGTTGGTGCACCTTCCTATATTCCTACAAGAAGAAGGTCTGGAAGGAGCAAACCACGTGTAATGAGCCTCTTAGGACTCCGATAAATACCCCAGGTTTGTTATTTGCCTGGGTCTCAGTCACCCAACCAGACGGCATTCAGCTGGATTAACTTACACCCAACCGCTCTTATCAAACATTTTCTCTCCACACAATCTCACCTGTTAGGTGAGATGTTGGGACCATCTACAGTTACTCCCAAGGTAGCCCTTCCCCTACACTGTCCACACTGTGGTTTGATGAGGGAAGCTGGCAGAATACATGCATGCTGCCCCATGCACTCAGCCACGAGGACTCCTCCCCATGTTCTGCGGACTTCCCACCTTCAGACTTGGCTTCAGGGCATGGGCAACCACAGAGAGGAGGGCAGCGCACGTGACCCACGGGCTCCTTCCACGCAATTGGGGCGTGACGACTGCACAGCAGAAGCGGCAGGAGGCAGTGGTCGGTCTCCCAGTGGGCGCTTCCCAGCAGAGGTGAGTGACGTCAAACGCACTGTTGGGACGTCTCTGCGATCTCCCATGTCTGCAGCCAGCTTGTCCACAGCGCACAACTGTAAGTGTGATGCTCCCTCACCTGAGGCTCATCTGCTGCTGGGGCTGGGGGGCAGAGGGATGTGTGGGGAACTGTGTGCACCCTCTGGCACATTCGGAGTGGCCTCTGGCAAGTGCATCCTGCCCAGGGGTTCAGTGTAGGTAAAGGTGGGTCGAATCTTGTTTTGTTTTGCTTGTCCACGACAGGCCTTCTTGGTGATCCGCTCTCCTCTGATCCTGCACAGGACTGATGGGAGACCAGGACGTTCTTCCAGTGGTGAGGCTGAAGACGTTCCCCAGACTTGTGGTAAGGCCCGTGTTGCAGGCTGATCAGAGGGATCCATCATCAGATTCTGGGGAGGGGGTGCTGCAGGCAGGAGCCACGAGGGCTTTGTGGCTTCATGGTCAGCTAGTGATTTCACACGAGGTGGGAAGCAGTGCGACCATTGCCATTTGCTTGCCGTCTCGCTGTCCAGGAGCACAAGGCTGGGGCCCAGCTGGGGAAGTTTCCAGGCTCCGGTTTGGATTCAGCTCCTTCCACAGGCAGAAGTCTCTCCCTCAGCTTTGGCAGAAGGCCATCCAGGGCTCTTACTGTTCTGTAATAGGTTATGTTTCGGTAAAAGAACTGCCCTTCAAGGGACTGTCTTAAGTTTGAACCCAGAAGGAAGGGGGGAAGGGACTGGCTCGTGACATCCAAATGATGTCCCAAATGGGCTGGGAAGTCTGAAATGTTCTGTCTATCGCTATTTAAATGCAGTCTTATTTCCAGAGAGAATGGGGGGAATTGTCTATTTGCTCAAATAACCACACACCTTGTTACAGAATTGTTAAGTCTTTGTTCTTTGGACTCCTGCAGCTATCATGTGTCCTTGTCTTATGTATCGTGATGGAGCTTCAGTGAAACCATTCTATTTTTGATCTCTAATCCTTTTATATGGGTTCCCCCCTTTGCTTACTCTTGCATGTCTTTGTAGTTTCTATAATTGGGTCTTTGCACCATCTTAATAGGGTTCAGCACCACACAGGCATGTCAAAACAAAGCAGAATGGAGATCAACCTATCAGGGGACATATTAAAGGGTAGCACACACCCTGTTGCAGTGGCTCTGACAGAAACAAACTGCCAGCTCCTAATCTGAGAGTCTTCCCATTGTAGCAAAAATTCCTTCCCATATGGACTGGAGAAGAAGCTCCAGCTCCCTAAGCAGGGCTGTTTCTGGCCAAAAACAACCTGAGAACCATTTGTGTGTGCTTCTTTCGAGAAGAGGAGGGATTTAATGCAACAAATGGCTCGCTTCAGTATGATGGGTTCCTGTGCCGGCATTTCAAATTGAATTGTGAAATCTTGTGAGCTTGGGAGTTGCCAACTGGGCTAAAGCTCCCAGGAATTTAATTTCAGAAGCAGCTCCTTTTCTTGGTGTGATGAGCTAAATTTCTGAGGCTAGTTCAACACCTCTTTGTATATCATCTGCACTGAGATGCTGCAACACAACTCCCAACACCGTTTTCCAGGAATATGTTAACCACCCACCCACCCACCACACAAATGCACCTTTGGGAAGATGCTACGGCACCTTTCAAAAAGCAGCCACTTGGGCGGCAGGAGCTCCCCTCCCCTGTCACAAATCACTGCTCATTTCTGCAGCATCCACCCTGCCCTCTTCCATGTGCCATTTCCCCTTCACTTGGTCTTCTCCCTGCTTGCTGGATACCCACCCTGTCCAGCTTCATGTGGCTGTAAGATCCCAGTGTTTCATATCAAGAGCTGGCTCTGTTCCGTTTTGCCACCCTCACTCACTCATACAATGGGGCAATCATGCTGTCCATTTAGATGGCTCGGTTGCATTGCGGTGCCGTCATGGCCAGCAGGAGTTATGTAATAAGTTGCGTCCACCACTATGACTATCCCAGAAGAGAGGAAGAGGCAACCTGCTGGAAGAATCAGGAGCCCAGAAAGCATAGATGCAAGAAGTAAATGTGACAGAATCTCTTTCTGTGTGTGTGTGTGTGTGTGTACGCCCCTCACCTGTTGGTAGTTTCAACTTTAACACATGCACTCATGAATATTACAGGTAGGGATGTGCTGGGGCTGTGAAACCCAGCTTGTGTGGGCTTGACAGACTTCTTGGTTGCTTCCCATCCTGCGATAAGAAGCGAATTGACTCAGGTTCTTTTTCACAGACTTCTGTCTCCAAGATGGCCCATGGTTCACACATTTTTAACACAGTAAGGAAATTTGCACAAATTGTGCAGTTTGCCCTATTGGCATCGCTTTATGTGTCATTCTGTGCAAATTATGCTATTTAGCTTATTTTGCGCAAATTGGCATTGAAAAAGCACATGGGGTAAGTACCATTTGTATAAAATCAGCCAATTTGTGCAAATCATGCTATATACACAGACTTTTGGGGTGCTTGTTTGTACAAAAAAAGCAAAATACTGTCATACAATTGCCTAACGCTTCATAGCTTGCATAAACTTACAAAAATTGCACAATCAATACTATTTGTGCGAGCTTTCTTTTCTTTTCTCTTTTCCCTTCAGTGCAAACTCTGGCCTAGCTTAGACCCAACTGGCTCAGCTTGCATCACACTGAGTCAGTTCCAGCACAGGGACAGATTGCCAGATTCTCTTAGATTTTCAATCTGTCTCAGAGCCATTACATGATTCTACTAAATTTTACATAACGGAATTGCAACATCTGGAGAAGGACACCCCCCAACACACCCACCCACCCACAAGGAAACTGAAACACCTTCCTATTTTACAATAAGATTCTTCAACAGTTATCCCAGTCCCTGTTCCAAAACTTTCAGAAGTTTTAAACATCCTGGATTTAGCAACTTGCATTCCTAAGTGAGAAGAGTTAATAATCATGTGATGACTAGCATCTTGCTGAAAAGAGTAACCCTACATACAGTGCCACTGGTGCCCAGCGGAGAATCAGCAGGCTGCATAAGGCACATGGCAGTGGGGATGGCCACAGCACCATGAGAACACATGTGCAATGTCCCAGCTTCAGTCTCTGGCATCTTGGGTTAACGTCCCTTAAGCACATCTGAGCCCTTGAAGACCTACTGCCCGTACAAGCAGACTGTATTTGGTTAGAGGGCCCAAAGGTCTGAGGCAGCGTAAGGGACCACCATGTGTTTTGGCATAGAAACACAGAAACAGAGCGAGTCAGAAGGGGTCTCCCGAGCCATCTAGTCTGACATCCAGCACCAGCCGGCATGACCCACAGTGTCCCAAGGAAGGTGCCCGTGTTCCAGCACCCTAGCAGGATGCGTTTCTGATGCTTGTTCAGTCCCTTTTGAAATTGGACTTCCATTCAGCAGCAGTGCCCAGTGCTGGTCCCTTCCCTCCTTTCCCCCAGGCCGCCACATGCAAGGCAAACTTTTGCAGCTAACAAGACAAAGTAGCACAAAGGGAAAGATTCTCTCCAGTCCTGCCCTTTCAATAATGCTGCAGCTCCACCCTCAAGGAGGTTCTTGGTAGAAAGCCAGCTGGTGAGACCTACAGAGGCCCTCCAACTGGGCAGCTCCTCTCTCCCAATGCCTCATGACAAGATCAAGGAGTGGGGCCTGCACCTGGTTCCCCTCTGCTCCCAAACCCCACCTGTTTCTTTCAAAACATGTAACGCCACGACTCTATCAACTTTACTGACTATCAGCTGAAATCCAGGTCCAAGTCAAAGCATTCACATAGAAACAGAATGAGACAGAAGCTATCTAGTCTGACCCCCGGCTCCACTCATGACATGCCTACCCTGTGCATATCCAGCCTATCCTACACTCTCACTGGTGGGGCTTCAACCACCTCCCGAGGAAGCCCTATCCCTAGGGTTCCTAGCCATCAGGAAGTACTTTCTGGCATCCACCCTAAATCTTGCTTCCCCGAGCTTTGCTCCATTAGAATGCATCCTGCCCTCTACTGCAAGGGGGGAAAGGTCACAACCCACCTCTGCGTGGCACCCCGTCACGTACCTGTATGTCACTAATAGGTCCCTTCTGAGTCTCCTCGTCCCAAGGCTGAAAAGGCCCACTTCCCTCAGTCTCACATCACAAGAACCACCATCCTAGTGGCCCTTTGCTGCACCGATTCCAACCTTGCTATATCCTTTCTGTAATGTGGAGCCTAGAACTGAACACAATATCCCAGCTATAGAGTGGTAGTATAACCTCCCTCGATCTAGAAGCCACTCTTCTGGCTATGCAACCAGGCTCGTATTCAGCCTGCAGTCGACCAGCACCCCGAGGTCCCTTTCACAAGTGCTGCTCTCCAGACACTTGTTACCTAACTTGTACTTATGACATCTATTCCTATGCCCCAAGTGCAAGACCTTGCACTTATCCACACTGAACGCCATCCTGTTGTCTCCTGCCCACTTCCATAGTCTGTCCAGATCCTTTTGGATCTGGAGTACCTGCTCCTCCGTTGTGGCCACTGCCCCCATTTTAGTATCATCTGCAAATATGATCAGCAGACTTGTCAGTGCCTTTTCCAGGTCATTAATCAAAAGACTGAACAGGATTGGTCCCTGGGGGACCCTGCTCATCACCGGCCACCATCCTAATGATTCCGAACTAATAGTAAGCCTCAGCTTTTCATCCGTCAATCATGCCCTAATCCGTTGGACAGTGCATCGGTGTATCCCAAAACTCCTCAATTTCTCAACCAGGACAGCATGTGGCACTTTTTCAAAGGCATTGCTGAAATCCAGGTAGACAACATCCACTAAGTCACCTCTGTCTAGCCACCTTGAAACCTTGTCATAGAATTCCACAAATTTTGTCTGGCAGGACCTGTGTTTGCAGAAACCATATTGCATTGCCACCAACCTCTCTTCTCTATGTAGGGTTACTAGATCTCTTTCTATTATAAGCCTTTCCATTGTCTTTCCCAGAATGGATATAAGGCTAACCAGCCTGTAAGTCCCCATGTCCCCTCTGCTACCCTTTTTGAAGATTGGGATAACTGATGCCTCCAAATCCCCAGCACCATCTGATCCCCCATATATATCTCCCCCATCCTGATTTGGAGAGATGACAGAGGCAAAATAGTCATTCAGCATCTGTGCCTGTTCCCTCACATCAGTCACCAAGTCTGCTTCCTCCTTATTAAGAGGTCCCACCACCTGTTTCCCCTTCTTCTTGCTATTTTACATGTTGGTAGAAGCCCGTTTTGTTGCTCCTGATATTCTTGGCAAGTCTCAGCTCATAATCAGCCTTAGCCTTGTGAGAAAGCCTTCTACAGCGGGCCTCCCCCTCCTGGTACACCCTTTTGTGTACGTGCCCCAGTGCCCATTTCCTACGGAGGTTCCTCTTGCATCTAGTCCCTCTTATCACTTCCTTATGCATCCACGGCGGTGCTCTCCTTCCCCTCCCCACCTTGCTAACTAGAGGTATCATCAAGGCTTGCGCCTCCAAGACCTCCCTTTTTAGTGCCATGCACCCCTCTTCCACTCTCTTGTCTTCCAGTATCCTCTCCCAGGAGACTTTCCCCAGTTTGGTCTTCACTTGACCAAAGTTGGCCCTTGAGATATCCTAGCTTCTAATACTTGGCCTGTCACTCATCCCCATTCCCTTGATCTCAAACCAAAGGATGGAGAGACCACTCGCATCCAGAGCTCTCCTAATCTGTACCCCATCTATCAGCTCCTCCCTGTTGATCAAGACCAAGCCTCCCTCGTTGCCCCCCGGACCCTCTGTGTGAAAAACCCTCCCTCTATGGCATCTAGGAAGCGACGTGGCCTGGCTGTCACCACAGAGTGAGTCTCCCAAGAAATATCCGGGAGATTGAAATCGCCCATAATTACTGTGTCTCTCCCCTGAGATATCCTTAGAATCTGGCCTGTCAGGACATCATCCAGGGTCTCAAGGTGACCTCGAGGGCAATAACATACCCCCACTGTCAGGTCTCTTTCCCTGTCAAAACCCCTAAGTTTCACCCAGACTGCCTCTACCAAATCCCCATCTGTGCTGCATTCTATCTCACTGCATCCTATCCCTTCCCTGACGTACAACGCTACATCTCCTCTCCTCAGATCCCTTTCTTTGGGTTCCCGGGCCTCCTCTTCCCTGAAATCGGCACCCTCTTCATAGGAGTCCCATCAGCCCCTGTGGTACCTCTAACACCCTGGACCGAAAACCCAGTCCTCTCCTGTCACTTGTCCCATCAGGACAAGTTTCTGGGGGGAACTGTACCCCCCATCGGCTCAGTTGAAAGCCTTCTGGACAAAGTTCGCTAGAGCATCTCCAAAGGACCTTTTCCCCATCCTCGTGAGGTGTGTCCCATCCCGTGCCAGAAGTCTACTGGGAAGAAACTGAGTGCTGTGGTCAAGGAACCCAAAGCGTTCCTTCTGGCACCACGCCCTGAGCCAGTCGTTCATCTTGGAGACCCTCCTGCCCCTGGCTGGCCCAAAACCCCAGAATGGCAAGACAGAGGAAAAGGCCACTTGGGCCTTTAGGTCCCTGAGCCTCAAAGTCCCTGGCGATCCTGCCCACCCCCTGCCTGGCGGTGTCATTCGTCCCCACGTGGATCACCAGAAGCAGCCGGTGATCCTCCGAGGGAAGAAGACGCTCTCCTCTGTCCATCATGTGTCAGATGCAGACCTCCCTCACCTCCAGGTCAGGGTGGCGCAGGGCCACCTCAGTGCCCCTCAGCAGGGAGTCACCCGCTGCCGTCTCTTCCCAGTGGCAGCAGACGGCCGTGCCTTGACCCTTGCCTCCCCTGCAGTGGCCTCCTGGCTGCATCTGGCCCCAGGCAGCACATCCTGGACAGGTCGATCCCTCCAGCTTCCCCAGCATTTCAGCATATCTGCAGCCCTGAACGGCTTGAGGCCAGGGGATCTAAATGCGCACCTCTTCCCATGTGTGCCAACTCAGACCCTGTGATCATCATCTGTAGCCCTGCTCCAAGAGCCCCTTTGACAGAAATAAGGAGAGTGGCTATGAGGAGAAGGGCCTTCTCGGGAGTGGCACCCTAATGCTGGAACCAACTCCCCAAATAGATTTGCCTGCTCCCTCTCCACTCCTTTCAGCACCAGACAAAGACTTTTTTATTTGCCCAATATTTTAATAGTTATTTTAAAGAGATTTTAAAATACGGTATTCGTTTTATTAATGCTACCATGCCTTTGGTTTAATTGAATGGTAGTTGATCTGTTGTTGGGTTTTCCTGTATTTTATTGTTGATATTTTATTGTTTTAGTATGTCCATCTAATTTAATATTATTGCTTTACTGTGTGTGTGTTGTTGCTACTATATTTCATAAGCTGCCCAGAGAGTCATCCTGGCTACTGGGAAATACAACAGCCTGTTCTCCTGGCTGGCCTGAGAATCTGCAAGAAGCAACCTTAAAGGAGCTTCCCCCCACCCCCATCCCCCCGCTGCTGCCACCCCATCTCTCTCCTCTGTTCATAATCTGATGATGTGTCTCCCTAAAAAAGTCAGCCAAGAAAGAGTGAGTGCTTGGCTCACTCTCTACAGCTAGGACTGTGCCATTTTCATTTTCCACAATGACTCCAACAAAGTCGCTGTCAGGGGCATTGTGGGAAATCAAAGCAGCGCCCATGCTGTCACCACCTTTCCAACAACGTAATCCTTCCTAGAATCTACCAGCAGAGATCTCTGCACCAGTAACAACCTTCAACTGCCCTGTGTTCCAAACTGAAAGCCAATTCTGCATTCTGTACTCACAATTTTGTAGTATGGACAGAAGAAACAAGCACTTCAAAAATAAAAACAAACACAGAAACCTAGGCACAGAGCAAGTCAGAAGGGGTCTCCCAGGCCATCTAGTCTGACCCCCAGCTCCAGCTAGCTCCACTCATGACATGCCTATCATGTGCATGCCCAACCTATCCTTGAACACCCTCATCGGTGGGGCCTCTACCACCTCCCATGGAAGCCCATTCCATACCCAAATAGCAAGGTTTTGTTGCCACTTGTTTTTGCTGCAAGCAACATTCAAGGAAGAGGTGGAGCACCTGGTTCAGTCAACACCACTGCAGGAATGTTGAGGGAACGCTACAAGAATTCCATTAAGGTGAGGCGATGCTGCATGGGTGGCTGAGGGGGTTATATGCACTGCACCAATGTGCATAAATACACATGCCCCCCTCCTCAAAAGACAGCAGCACCCCTACCCATGGGAACACCAACACAGAGCACCAGTTCCAGGAAAAGGCGGTTGAGCTCACCCATTCCTGTGCTATGAGAAGGGGACAGAGAAGAGCACACACGCAAAGCAGGCATCATTAATTTGTTCTGCAAAGGCCTGCATAAATTTAAGCTACGGGAAACTAGGACTTGACAGCTTTGTGACTATTGAGTGATGTTCTCCACCACAGCTTCAGTCAGGTGGGGAAAAAAGGATGATTTAAAAACATCTGGGTGATAATAAAGACAACAAGTTTAAAAACACACATACATGCATACATCCAAGTGTTTCCATGGAAGCATAATAGAGAATAAAGCCAGAGGCTTTATATGTCTTCTGAGCATTTCTCAGTAAGGATATAAGAACCAGCCCTTCGTGGGTGAGACTAAGGACCTATCCAGTCCAGCACTCCTTGTCCAACCATCACCAGAAAGAGGACTCTGCTAAACTTTGCGAACAGAACACCAAACCCACAATCCTCCTTTGCCTTGTATCTCCAGCATTGGATACTATCCTGGGCTTGGAAAAGCTAACTCACTAGAGTGGCTGATATTAGCAAGAACTGCCCTAAACCTGGTCCTTCTGCGCGCTTTCAGCTACAAATTCTATTTTTCCCAAACATCAGGTATGGTGGCTTGGGCTGATGGCATTGAAGTCCAAATCCAGCGGAGGGCACCGGGTTGGGAAGTCTGACTTAGGGCAAGCAACTGAAGCTGAAGGCAACATAAATGGAGGCGTGAACACACACAGAAATGTTGGCAGGGCGTATGCCAGCAAAGGGAGGGGTTATCCAGCACCACTAGAGATGTTTTCGAAACAACCAGCCCTGCAAACAAGTCTAGTTCATGCCTAATATTAGTAGCAGCACAGAACTCTGTCTTCCTGAGAAATTTCTCTAGCCTTTGAAGCATCAAGTATTTATTACCCTTTGGAGTGTTTCATCTGTTTCTCTGGTTCTTGCTGACATTTATATCTTGCCAAGATGTTTATGGTTGCAAAGAAATACAAAATAACTCATAATCCCCTTACAAACCTTAAAAAACCGTCCGTCATGTTGCTGCAAGCATGCCGTATATTTGAGCGTATAAATATGCACGCTTCCCTCTCTCCCCTAGATCTTTCAAGAATATATTAAGCGAAGAGTTTCAAATCTATAATGTATAGGGCTGACTAAAAAATCCGTACAGTATAGATCAAATCTATTGTGACATCTTTCTCCCAGTGAAAATACATGACCCAGCTACAGTTACATGAGGGACGGAAAGGGAGAGACAAGTGGGGGGAGGGAGGGGGAGGGGGAGTGTGTGTGTGGGGGGAGAGAGAGAGAGAGAGAGGGAGATGAGGAGAGATTTGATTTCATGGAGATATTGCCCAGACAAATAGGTTTTCTCATTCCATCCCTTTATTTATCAAAAAGCAGTGAAGATTATAACTAATTTGTACAGTGGGATAGAGGCTGAATCATCCCCAATGATGAGATACCCAGCAATGTCCAGGGGGCTCCGAAGAGCCCCATGCTGAGCCTGGTGGGCCCACTGCTCTCAAGGCCACTCACCCCACCCTTGTTGCTGGGGGCCCTCCTTACCATTAAAGCTAGTTACGCACTCTTCCTCTCCACGGTTCTGTTTAACCAGCAAGGGACACACAATGATGTGCGTTTGTGTTTTGCTTTGTGTTGAATGGCGGTCTTAGTTTGGTGGCGCACTGACTAGTCTATAAGGGGACACAGGGAACTGTAACATGAGTCGGGAATTTTCCTGACTGTGACTCAGTTGATGAAGAAGATCTTCTGTAAGCTGCTTGGAGAGCACTATGTGCAAGACTGGGGTCAGGGCAATGGCACTTCCCATGGGAGGTGCTCCCTGCTCTACGAAGGGTGGCCACCGCAGTCCGCTTCCTAGCAGGCCAAGCTTAATGGCTACCTGCCATGGAACAGAGCCACATGGTTCTTCTGCGGGGAGCAGCTTGGAGAAGAGCAGGGCAACAAGCAACCTTACATCATAGGCCCCAGTGGCGGCAGGATGGTAGCTACACCAGGAAGGGGGACAGGTTCAGGCTAGGCAGGGTTCCAGCAGAAGCACCATGAGCCGGGTTTCCTAAAATCTCCCTAGAGGCACTGCATTAAAGATACAGGAAAGCAAGAAGGCCGCTGTCAGATAAGGAAGAAGTCCATCCAGGCCCCTCTCAATCAAGGTATGAATGAGGAACCATTTCTGTTGTTTCTGTCCATCACCTTCTCTCAAAATGAAGGTTCCATTTGCCTGTTGTGGCCAATACCTACTGACCAACGTACAAAACACACATGCCACTGAATTATGTGATTTTGTAAGCAAAGTTTGAAAAATGCAAGAAGGACCTGACTGAGAGGGGAATAACAGGCTTGAGGGCTTCTCTCATATGGTACATATTCTAGACATTCAAACTGAGCTAATCATCCATTCCCTCTGATTTCTTCCTGGCTGCAGCCATGGATGTTGGTGTCTCTCACCAACTCTTTATCCATGAATTGCCTGATTACTTGATTGTCCATTTAATTTTTGTTAAGCATTTCTCCCCATTGCCTTGCTGTATGTGTGTTTTTGGGGTTGACACTAGCTTTCTTCTTGCTGGGTGTTGTCATACACTGTGATGTCTAAAAGAAGGACCACATAAGCCCAAGGCAAACCAAATTACATAGAGGTGTACGTATGTGTTTGGAGGAGTACCACCTGCTTTCTAATCCATGGCTTTTGTCTTCATTTAAACATGAACTTTTGGTTAAAAAAGAAGAAGAGCTCATGCATCATCTGGCCTCACCAATACAATCCACTCACTGGGGACCAAGCTTCCCACTTCTTAATAAGCCTTATTTATTAATATTTACTTATTTACAAAGCTGCTACCCCACCTTTTGACAGGACACTTTACAATGTAACTGCTTTGATGATGGATCAAACAAATGATAGAGGCTATGCTACCTAACCCTCATAGCTAGCCAAATGGAGAGATTCAACCAGGCAAAGACAAATTTGTCGGTTTTAGTTTCTGCCAAATTCATTGAACACACCACTACTGCGACCACCACAAACTCACATGGATGAGCTGGGCAAAACATTCTGCTCTGCTTTCTCCTACACGTGATCTTTTCTTTTTTAAATACATCAAATTATTTCCAGCTATGGAGGAATGTGTGCATTCTTGCTAAATTCCTGTTAAAAGAAGCGCCCTGTGACATCTTTAGCTGCCACCCGCTTCCAGGTTCCCATGACAAGTGCCAAATTGGAATCGGGTAGGCAAACAGATAAGACAGCTGGTACAGAACCAGGCACAGAAACCTAACACAAATTGTTTCAGAACCAGAATGCATGATTTTGAAGTACAGAAGGAAGTTTCAGCCATAAGCTTTTGACCCTATATTCACTTGCCCAGCAGAGAGTCCTAATGAACTCAGTCGGACTCAAAATGGCTCTGAGTAAAGATGTTTAGAACTGTATTGCTAGGGAGCAATCCTATGGCCTCCAAAGGTGCAATCCTATGCCAGGGGCCCATAGGATCCTGCAATCTTGGAGCCAGTACTCCACACCAAACCCCCACCCTGCCTCCTTTGTGGCCAGAACAGAAAGAAACTTCTGGCCACAGGTCAGTCTTGGCAAGCAGGGAAAAGGGCTGCCGATAGGCAGGCATGGTGCAGGATAATGGCCTTTGCTGCTTCCAGACCTCTCCTCCTCCTCCTCCATGATACTTCATGAAATCTGGAGCTAAAGGTGCCTTTTTAGCAAATGCGTTGCCAGTGTGACTCAGACTGTGCACTGGATGCACCGGGGCATCATAACCCCTGACCATGGTTCTCTGCATGCTACTAACATTGCACTGTACTGATTTGGGGCCTGTTGCCAAGACTGCTTCATAGGCAAGGGACAGAATTACTCTGACAGCGAAGACCAAACGATGCCTACAATTTTCTTACAGTCCTTAATGAACGGTAACTATTACTTTTTGTCATTTCAAGATGCTGAGAAACTTTGCACTGTTATATAAGAAAATATGTTTATATAGTGAGATTATTTTAAGTTGTATGGATGGATTATTAATTTACTTCTGGGTCACTGAAATTTCACTTGCACACATCAAGTACTGTATATATTAACCTGAATTTTATTTTATTTTATTTTATTCAGAGAC